CAAATGAATAATCTAAAATGTAGTTTCACGAGTTTTTAAGAAACGAGTGAAATCTGTTTTTTAGAAATAAGTGAAACATGTTTCACGAATTTTAAAATGTTTACAACATAATCTAATTTGATCTCGTTTTAAAGAGCTCGACCTTAGAAATTGAAATGTGTAAGCAGATTTAAAAATAAAATTTGTTTCATAAGATACCTATGAATGAACATCTCAGAAGAACATAAAATAGTAGTAGTAAATTTTCTATGGATGAAGAGAGAGAACCATGTGCGCATGCAGCCAATACCTGACTTGCTAGCATAAAGCTGACACATGACACCCTTTCTAGGCGTATCTAAAAGATTGAGTAGTCGTACAGTGCATAGGAAACCTGTACTCCCTCAGTCCCAAAATTCGTGTCTTACATTCGTCTAAATATGGATGTATCAAATATTGTCTTAGATTTGTCTAGATACAGATGTATCTAATATTAAGACGTGACTTGATACATTCGTACTTAGATAAATCTAAGACAAGACTTTCGGGACGGAGGGAGTAGAATAATGTCTCCTAGCATTTTTTGGTGAGATCCTTGAAGCCAGAACGAACGGCAGATGCAGACACAGGAGGTTCAAAAAAAAAATACTGGGCAATTCAATTTATTGTATGTGTATAGCACGAGTCGAACAACTAATAAATCGTCATGGTACGGGGAACATTACATGGATCCAGCAGTGTGCGATATTGATCACACCGTGCACGATGTGACTAGCAAAAAAACAGACACGAACAAGTATAGTTGATACAGGGCGCTGCATGCCCGGCAGCGGCAGGTCATCACCACTTGGAAACAAAGGGCCGCCTGGACTTGTGAGGAGTAGACGACGATGGCACCGTCGACCACGGAGCTGGTGCAGGCGGCGCAGGCGAAAGCGCGTCCGCGGCGAGGATGGTGACGTTGAGCTTCAAGCCCATCTGGCAGTGGTTGCCCACGGTGCAGATGAACCACCTCCTCCCCGCGTCGCCGAGGTGGACCTGGTCGGCACCGGACCTCCAGGCGGGGCCGCCCTTGGTGTTCTTGCACGCCTTGAAATCCGGGCCGCTCACCTCCACCACGTTATGGAGCGCCTTGTTGTACTTGAACACTGCAAGCACACGCGCGCATCTCCATGAATCAGTAAGCAGTCCAATCTCGTTTGTGCATCTCCATGAATCAGTAAGCAGTCCAAATCTCCATGGTAATGGATAATGGATGCATGATTACCTAGCGCGTCGCCGACCGTGAACTGCTTGCTCTCGGACCAGGCGGTGTAGTCGAAACCGAGCGTCCACCCACTGCCGTCGCCCACGGGGTGCACAGTGGTTGAGGCGGCGAGCAAGGGGAGGAAGACCATGGCGATTTCCACCGCCACGGCAAGCATCTGCTTGGAAGCCATATGGAGATTGTCGAGCCTTGAAACTGAAACTACTTCTTCCTATTTACTTACTGCTCTCAGGCTCTACTGCGGTGTGATGACTGATGAGAACAAATTAAAGCACACATACATGGTTATATATATATATATATATATATATATATAGGAGCGACAGTGATCCTGTACGTGCATGGGAGAAATAGTCAAGACACAGGGTGGAACTAACTAGTAGCTCCTCGTCGGAGTTACCAATGGAAGGATTATGATGCATGCATGGTTGACACGGTCCGCATCTTCCTTTGCAGCCCTTTGTCCAAATGTCATCTGAGAGCAGAGGTTTGACACTTTCGCCAGACCCATCAGGATTCAGGACAGGAGCAAGAAACAACGGCTAGTAGAAACAAGATTTCAAATACTAATTTTGCTCTCTTGTATTCATCAATTGACGAATGAAATTTTCGGAAAGAACAAATATGTACCTCTCTGTTTACACTGGCTCTCTTCAGAAAAGCCTAGCTACCATTACTGATCGATTTTGTTTCTCTTTGGAGAGCTTGATACGCTCCATGTTACCTCACTACAGCTAAGATGAGGTTGAAATCAAAGAGGTGGAGGCAGGAGGTTATAGATTTAGTCTTCATGCAAATTATGCTAAGCTTATCTTAGCGATGCCACATAGAATAATTGCTGAGATGAAAGAAAGAAAAACAAAAAGGGCATGCCTTCTCTTAGCTAAGCCTATCGCGGAAGCAAATCTGTACCTCCATGAGAAGTAAATCCGTGCCTCTCGCGGAAGGAAAAAAGGAAACACATTTTTTACCTTCGGGCTTGCTAAAAATCAGTTGACTGAGATTTAACCAAGTCTCAATCGACCATGCAACATTTTTCTCAACAGTTGTAACTTTTTTTATACCGGTTGCAACATTCGTCTTGTTGGTTGTAGCATGTTGTCCCTCATCGATTGTAGCATATCGTCTCACCGGTTGTAACATTTGTCATTGATGGTTGTAGCATTTTAATCACACCGTCTGCAGCACCAATTTTCATTGCTTGTAAAACCGTTGCAACATTTTTCATCATCGGTTGTAGCATCTAGCCGTGCCGCTTGCAGCAAAAAAACTACGCTGACGTCACTCGACTGAGACTTGGTTAAGTCTCAGTCGACCGAGTTCTAGACAGACCCTTTTACCTTTTTCGAGAGGCACGACTGCGCCTTTCAAGGAGGCAAATCCGTGCCTCAACGAGAAGTAAATCTGTGCCTCTCGTGAAAGAAAAATAAATAAAAGAAACCGTGTTCTTTTCCCTTTCTGGGAGGCACCCAAACGCAAATACATGCCTTCATGAGAAGTAAATTCGTGCCTCTCGTGAAAGAAAAAAAACATTTTTTCACTAAATTTTTTTGGGTCCAAAACATAAGAAAAAACCGGAGGGTGGGAGGGGGGAAGCCAAATGAATCATCTAAAGACCGAAAACATGTACAGGAAAAACAATCGGATGATACACATAGAGCACGCCAAGTGGCTTGTTCCCAGCCAACCCAAAGTGATCCTTGTGGAGTCACCCGAAGGAGTACTCGCTGATAAGTTGCTCTCGGATAGGAGCTGAGCAAACTTACATAGGGCGTCCTAATTGGGCCAACCCAATCACACGTATGTAGGCGCTCACCTACTCTGGCGGTCCGGGTTTTCCAAGACGACCGTAGCAAAACAATCTCCCGTAGAAAGGAGCATTGTAGCAGATCAGGTTACTGTAGCCAAACAGTTTGAGTGAAAACATTGTTTTGAATTATGTGAAATTAGTGAAATCACTTCTTTAAAATAAGTGAACTTTTTTAGTTGAGTGAAATGAATGTTTTGTATTAAGTGAAATCAATGATTTAAAAATTATTTAAATCTGTTGATTGAAATGAGTTAAATATTTCATTTTAAATGAGTGAAAGAATTCTTTTTTAAATTGATTGAAATTGTTTATTTGAATTGAGTGAAACAAGTCTTCTGAAATGATTGAAAGTGTTTTGAAATGAGTGAAATCAGAGTTTTGAAATGAGCGAAATCAATGTTTTGAATACAATCTACACTCTGAGTTTTTAAGAAACGAGTGAAATCTGTTTTTTAGAAATAAGTGAAACATGTTTCATGAATTTTAAAATGTTTACAACATAATCTAATTTGATCTCCTTTTAAAGAGCTCGACGTTAGAAATTGAAATGTGTAAGCAGATTTAAAAATAAAATTTGTTTCATAAGATACCTATGAATGAACATCTCAGAAGAACATAAAATATTTGTAGTAAATTTTCTATGGATGAAGAGAGAGAACCATGTGCGCATGCAGCCAATACCTGACTTGCTGGCATAAAGCTGACACAGGACACCCTTTCTAGGCGTATCTAAAAGGTTGAGTAGTCGTACAGTGCACAGGAAACCTGTACTCCCTTCGTCCCAAAATTCATGTCTTACATTTGTCTAAATAGAGATGTACCAAATATTGTCTTAGATTTGTCTAGATACAAATGTATCTAATATTAAGACGTGACTTGATACATTCGTACTTAGATAAATCTACTTAGATAAATCTAAGACAAGACTTTCGGAACGGAGGGAGTAGAATAATGTCTCCTAGCATTTTTTGGTGAGATCCTTGAAGCCAGAACGAACGGCAGATGCAGACACAGGAGGTCCAATGCACGGTAGATTTTCCGCTTTCCATCAACAATAATACTGGGCAATTAAATTTATTGTATGTGTATAGCACGAGTCGGCGCAGAAAGAAAGTTAGGGTTTGTGCCTCTCGCCGGCGCCGGTGTAGGTCCGCCTCGTCTCCGATGACCCTAGGGTCATGGAGGTGCGGTGGATCCTGGCAACGGCCAACGGAAGGGCTCCGTTTTTAGTCGTTTTTTTCAATCTTATTAGGGTTTGTGTCCTACTCAGGAAGGCAAGACGGCGGCGGCTCCCTGAAGATGGAATAAAGATCTCCCCGCCTAGCCCCCGTTCCGGTGGTGCGTCTAGCATCGTTGGTGGGCGTGTGGAGGTGTGTCTCCGGCAGATCTATCTTTGGTGGATTTGCTCGGATCTCGTCGCTGTTCGTCTACGTTCGTGTGTCTTCGGTTTGGATCCTTCCGATCTACGTTATTTTTCATCGGCGGCGGTTGCTGTTCTGGGGTGCTGGTCCTATGGGGCCTTAGCACGACGACTTCCCGACTGTCTACTACAACAAGTTGTGCCCGGCTCCGGCGATGGAGGGGCGATGACGGCGGCGCGCCTTCGGCTCGCTTCGGTGCTTGTAGTCGTCGCTAGGTGGTCTGCAAATCTGGATGTAATTTTTATTTCTAGTATTCATTGTACTGTCATGATTGAAGATGAATAGATTGGAAGTTTTTCCGAAAACAAAAAGAGTCGAACAACTAATAAATCGTCATGGTACGGGGAACGTTACATGGATCCAGCAGTGTGCGATATTGATCACACCGTGCACGATGTGACTAGCAAAAAAACAGACACGGACAACGTAGTTGATACAGGGCGCTGCCCGGCAGCGGCAGGTCATCACCACTTGGAAACAAAGGGCCGCCTGGACCTGTGAGGAGTAGACGACGATGGCACCGTCGACCACGGAGCTGGCGCAGGCGCAGGCGAAAGCGCGTCCGCGGCGAGGATGGTGACGTTGAGCTTCAAGCCCATCTGGCAGTGATTGCCCACGGTGCAGATGAACCACCTCCTCCCCGCGTCGCCGAGGTGGACCTGGTCGGCGCCGGACCTCCAGGCGGTGGCGCCCTTGGTGTTCTTGCACGCCTTGAAATCGGGGCCGCTCACCTCCACCACGTTATGGAGCGCCTTGTTGTACTTGAACACTGCAAGCACACGCGCGCATCTCCATGAATCAGTAAGCAGTCCAATCTCGTTTGTGCATCTCCATGAATCAGTAAGCAGTCCAAATCTCCATGGTAATGGATAATGGATGCATGATTACCTAGCGCGTCGCCGACCGTGAACTGCTTGCTCTCGGACCAGGCGGTGTAGTCGAACCCGAGCGTCCACCCACTGCCGTCGCCCACGGGATGGACGGTGGCTGAGGCGGCGAGCAAGGGGAGGAAGACCATGGCGATTCCCAGCGCCACGACAAGCATCTGCTTGGAAGCCATGGAGATCGTCGAGCCCTGAAACTGAAACTCCTTGCTGTTTACTCCCTGCTCTCAGGCTGTACAATGGTGTGATGAGAACAAATTAAAGCACACATACATGGTTATATAGGAGTGACAATGGTCTTGTACGTGCATGGGATAAATAGTCAAGACACAGCGTGGAACTAGTAGCCCCTCGTCGGAGTTACCAATGGAATTGTGATGCATAGTTGACACGGTCTGCATCCTCGTTTGCAGCCCTTCGTCCAAATGTCATCTGAGAGCAGAGGTTTTACACTTTCGCCAGACCCATCAGGAATCAGGACAGGAGCAAGAAACAACGGCTAGTAAAAACAAGATTTCAAATACTAATTTGCTCTCTTGTATTCATCAATTGATGAGTGAAATTTTCGGAAAGAACAAATACGGACCTCTGTGTTTACACTGGCTCTCTTCAGAAAAGCCTAGCTACCATTACTGATCGATTTTGTTTCTCTTTGGAGAGCTTGATACGCTCCACGTTACCTCACTACAGCTAAGATGAGGTGGAAATCAAAGAGGTGGAGGCAGGAGGCTAGATTTAGTCTTCATGCGAATTATGCTAAGCTTATCTTAGCGATGCCACATAGAATAATTGCTGAGATGAAAGAAAGAAAAACAAAAAGGGCATGCCTTCTCTTAGCTATGAATTGATCTCTTTATTATTTATAAAATGTGGACGTATGCATCGTTCTGATGCAGAGGCTGGGGAGTCCCCCCTTTTCAAAAAATAAAATAAAAAAATGGTCCAATGATACGAGATGTTTTCATAAATTCACTTACCTTCTAGTTTAATTGTAATGGTCCTCTAATTTTGTGATCTCCAATCATTAATTGCTAGAGAATGCACAAAAGGATAAGCC